CTCAACTCTGCTAGAATAAATGTTCTGCAGATAGATTGGCAACTGTAGCTCAGCGGTTAGGGCAGTTGCCCTCTAATGAGAGAGTCACCAGTTCGATTCCACAATATGCAGTCACATGTCAAAGTGTCCTTTGGCAAGACATCGGAACCCCCCTTGCCTCTGATGTATGTATGAATGTGATCTAAAGCACTGCATGATTTGTTTCAATTTGCTTATTAGAGCACTGTGTGTGTATGCGTTAATGAGAACAGACTGTCTTGTAGAGCACTTTAGTCTAGTTGGTTTGAAGGGTGTTTTATGATCTATTGACTATTAATATGAAGTTTAAAGGGGACCTAATATGCAAAATTAACTTTTTTCAGTTTTTTTTTTACTTACATTTGGTTCTGTACTGCTTCTAAAAACAGCCCAAGTACCAAAAAATGTACCCAGAGTCATTTTTACTATAAGTAAATGTATTTTTTTGTGTCTTGAAATGACCTGTTTTCACGCACCGCTGTTTGTGATGTCACAAACAGCAACCTGAGCCCAGCCCTTCTCCTGGTAACCCAAGTGGAGACTCCGCCCACTTCTTCACAGGACATTTCTGGAGAACAGAGATGTGTGGCTTAATTTTATTTTTATTTATTTTTTATTTTATGTTTGATGGCAATGGTCTAGCAATATTAACAAAGAAAGTTGTAGATTGTGTAAATAATTTCACCATGAACTACTTTGGAAAAATCTTACTTTTTACTGAAAGGAAACTTTGGGCGGAGGGCGGAGTTAACATAAACAAAAAGTTGGCATTCAGCACATTCTGAAGAGAGCTAAAGAACAGGCAGAACTGAAAAGGTGAATTTCATTATCTGAGATTTATTTTGTGAAATAAATCAAATTAACATGTTTTGTATAGCCCACAGATGGAGCCTAAATTGCTGTCACCTTTAAAGTAGTAATTGGAATAAATGACATAATGGGAGAAATTAAAAGTATTGATTTGATAAAAGTTTTGTCAGTTTTGGGTTCATCTGAGGGCRTGCTAAACTAGATGAGGCAATGAAGAAAACTCTTAGAGCTGTGGTGAAACCAGACCTGCCATGTGGTCTGTGGCTGGCAGTGAGCATGGTGCCTCAGAAGAAATCACATTCTCCTGATTTTTCAGACTTGTAATYCATCCATCCATTTTCTTTACCCGTTTTATTGTGCAGAATCTACGACTTTTCTCCAGCACTCATTGGGCAAGGGGGTACACCCAGGACAGGTCCATCACAGGGCCACTTAAAGACAGAAAAGACTGGCAACCACTTATGCTTTAATTACTCACATTTACAGACAATTGAGTTAAGGCGCAAAAGCGCAGCAAGCGGATAAACTCACAGCAAACAGTGAAATTCATTTCAAACACATAAATGATGCAAACTCCAAAACACTGACTCGACCACCATAAGGAACCAGATCCTCAGTAAAGTCAACTGGATGCGGAAGGAAGTTGGAGGGAAAAAGGAAAACGTTTTCCTTCCTTAATGGCTTTTACCAGGGGTAAAAGGTCTTACAGGGGTCTGTGAAGGTCCCATAAGACCAAGTTATATAGGACCAGAAATGTGAAATTTAAGTCCTGGATTCTTACCAAACATTCATTCCTTATC